GAATGTTCTAGATAGTATATTTGTAAAAACTTCCACTGAGTCCCATTTATAATCTAATCTTAATGAACATAAGGGAACAGATAACATTAGTTATTATAATTATTTAATAACATTTAACGACTTAATGATTCGTTAATAACTGTATGCACATCATTAGGGACAGAAATTTTATGCATTTTCTTTCAATCCTTAATTGTCATAATTAGTTGGCAAACAATCGTCAAAACCGGAATGCATACTCATTATCGCTAATCGTCATTGTCAATAGTAAATTCTTGCAATAAATACCAGGGCGCTCTTTAGAATAAGGGTATATTCAACAATATGTTACGGTGTTAACAGTTCCCGAATAATATCTTGAAATTTGTTGTCAGTGTGTATTTTTTTTTCCGCTTACTTCTTCTAAACCACACGACAGACTTTAGTACGAATTTTATTTAGATGTATTTACGAAAAGTTAATATGTTACAATACATACTAATATACCACTGTGCAAAGGCAACCAGAGCGCAAGTCTATACTGGATAATGAAAGGTAATCATCTATTTTTTTCTCTAATTTAAATTTTAGTCTTACTTATTGCATACTGTTTCTTACAAATTCTACAGCGTTATATGTACATGTATTTATACATCTATTTTTTCATGTGGCTAATTGTTTTCTTTGAAATTTGTTGAAAAAATAAATCTTATGTTAAAATGAAAAAAAAAAGAGATTTTAAATATTAATAATAAAAATAAATAAATATAAATACAAGAATAGTTTAGTATCTAAGAACTCCATTCTTTAGTGCTGTTCTGTGAAAACAACTCAAATTTCAATAGCAGATTCGCGAATAATTTATATTTAGTATTCTGTAAACAAGTAAGATCGATGACAGCACCATTTTGTTAAGGTGGCGACATAGTAAACTGGAGTAAGTGTGCTACCATCCTTAAAAACTCACTTTAGTTTTAATAAACTAAATCGGCGTAAATTGAGAAATGAAATGCAAAACTTTACAGAACAGTATGGCTGAAATCACACTATATTAATATATTTTATAAGAATGGGGTAGAGGGCGGCGTATTAACTAGGCGCAACGGAACGCGGACGAGAATCGTTGCGCGCGCGCCGGCTCGCCGCTTTCCCGACTTTCGAGCGACGCGTGCCGACGGACCAAAACTCGAATGCACTATCACTACCGTTAATTACTGTTGTATATTAATCTATAAATCTATACATAGTACGATGAATGTAAAAAATCATTATAACGGTATCGCACTTCAATCTAGCAGTTCTTGGAGTGACAAATAAAATTGAAACGCTACTTGGGTAATTAAAGGTACTAATAATTTATATTCGACCATTTTTGAGGAATCAATTCCTTAAACTTCCATTCATATCAGAAAATAAATTTGCAGTGAAAGTTACAAAAAAGTTAAACAAAACCTTATTTATATCGTGTTAAGTGTCATCTCAGATCAAAAATATTCACAATTATGTACCTACACACACATTACAAAACATTGTTATTAGTTGATCTGTTCATATTAATTGAATCAAAAGACGTCTGTTGAAATAGTAAGACATATCGTAATGGATTATCTTTATTGTCGTTTGGGTAATTAACTTGCGGTGTTGACATGTTTCGACTCTATAAAGTTATAATAAACGACAAATTCTAATTAATACAACCAGATTTTTACCGTAATTACTAATTTATAGATGTACCGAATTCTTTCTCACTAAAGTTTTTAAAGTTAAACGTATAGCAGATTGGGATTATAACTTCCGTGTCAATTTTGTCACTTTCTACACTCTCTATGAATTCTATGAGAAAATAATAATACATCTGTCAATTCCAGGCATATGCTGCCTAAATACATAATTTGGACTTGACAGAATCCCAACATTGTCAGGGAAACGAATGTCACCTGTATTCGAAAGCGATACACATATATATAGAAGGTGACGATCCGGAAATATTTATATACTTATTTTTATCTTCATGGCAGACGCGGAAATATGCAGTATAATAATCTTTCATTTCGACTATAATACTCTTTAATGAAAACTTAAATTTGTTCAAGCACGTACTAAGTTTTGTTTTACGTGCGTGACTGAACTTTGCTTCTTGCTTGACATCAAACCAAGAATAACATGATTTGGTTGTATTTTATAATATCATTTTACGAGATGATCCATTCAGTTTATATATTATGCCTTCGGTATTATGTAGGTGTAATACCAATTTAGTATTCAATAGAAGATAATGTATGACGTTTGTTATCAACTTGCATGCATTATCACGTTATCAGCTTACAAGTACTTCCTTATAGCAATATTTAACAATAAAATAAAAATTCAGTAGTAAATTTAATTACCAATTTTCCATATAACTAGTTTAAAAAATAACTTTGCTTCTAATTTATTTTATTAGATAAAATCTTCAATCGATTATAATTGGATTGTATGAGAAGATTTTAGGATAACAAACTCATATACTAAATAGAAAGTTATTAAAAAATTAATATTAATATAAATTAAACATTCATATCAATAAAAGTAGTATCCTATACAAAATAAAATAAATACAAAGGGAAGATACCTTAACCTCTGTAAGAATAAAACTGATAAAAAGTTATTGGAAGTGGAATAAACAGAGGAAAATCTACGTATAAGACACAAATTCAGTATCTGTAAACAGCAATTATTATGACGACTAACATAAATAATAAATAAAAATTTCCTAGGCCGAGCTTAGTCCAGTTAAACACGATTCCTGCTGTTTAATTTTTTTTTATAAATTCACTGTGTTTCCATTTCAACACTCTTTAAATTTTAAATGTTATGATAATCTTTTCTTTTGTCTAAAGTAAAAAAAAATTATATACTGAACAGAATCATAGACGAATGAAATGTTAGTTGATTTCATATAATACATTTTCAATCAGGGGTAATCATCTTGCGGACACTTTCCTTTATTAACCGTCTTCAAGAAAGGAAAAGATTCTCAATTCGGTTATATTTTATTTTATGTTTGTTACCTCGATAGTACCCTGTCATTAATAAACATATTTCAAAAATTACTTTTTATCTAAATCTTAATTAAATTTAAACCTTCGGTTTCCTTCAGAATCTTTAGAAATTTTATCAAAATTGATTCAGTAGTTTAGTTTTAAAATTAACATAACTGATTTCACCACGGTTGAAGTCGATGTTTATTTGTGAAACAAAATCTAAAACTATTGTTATCTCTAAATAAAGCAGTCGTTATCCGCGTCTATGTATTTCATCGCTTACTTCTTGTAAACGTAGCAATAGATTTTGATTTTTGATACTAATTCTCGCCAAAAATCTATTTACCTCATGTTGGCTAAACCTTTAAAGATAGGTTAAAATAATGTAACACGTAAAACCAGCGCAGGTTAGGTTTATACTTCAATTAAATTATAAACACTGATAGTTTTATTTAAAGCTCTGACAAAATAAAACATTCAGTAATAGGCACCTTTAGAACTCATCTTGCGCAGCAGATTTTATGCTATATAGTTTTATTTCCTACTAATAACGTACTTAATTCTACAACTAAAAATCGTCTATATAAAATTGTTGTTAAGAAGTAGAAGCCCAGAAAGGTAAAAGAATACAATTAAAGTAATATATAACACCTTATGTGTGAACAATATATAATACATGTGTACTGGGCAAGGAATAAGAAAATAAAATGTACACGTGGTATTTTGTACGTGGATGGGTTATCTTCTTGCTGATCGATTAATGTTGTGATGTATTTCAATACTGAAAAAACATGGAAAATTTTATTTGCCTAATGCAAATGCGTAAGCCTATATAAACAAGTTCGGTCAACTACTTTGAGCATATGATAATAGAAATTTGAACTGTAACATAGGAAAAGCAATAATAATACAGTCTTGTTATATAGTAATTGATAGCAACAGTATTTGGTTTAAACCTCTAAACAAAAATTAAAGTTTATTTTTATTGAATATTATGTACCCCGTCGATATAAAGTGAAATGTATTTGGATCTTGGTCTTTTAGATATTTGTATAATATACATATACGCCATAAAAGACCCATGTCAGGATACTTCGGACAAAAAGCACCATTAAAACCACAAAAACTATTACATATTAAAATAGTCTTCAGATTATAAATATACATATAATATTTTTATTATTAAAATATTTTAATGCGCATTTGGGAATTGTAATTTTTTTAAAAAGGAGATTAATTTTTAGATATACCCCGTATTTGGGAATGTAATAATACTTTTTTTTATATTTTTATAATGATTATAAACTGATTATCATTGATATATAATTGATGTAAATCAACAATTAGATTATTACAATGAATTGTCAGACGTGTGAAATACGTGCAGTGTCAACAGCGCCGCCGAAGCGCGCCTCCGTCGCAAGGACACCGCGGGTCGAGCCAACCGTCCTCTGTCGTCATGCGCAGGTAGCGGCCAGAGGACGACATGCCCATTGTTTATCGCTACTGATTATTATGCCCCAACGTGGTACTTGTCGACCGACGCATCAACTCATCAAGCTGTTGCGCATAAAAAATCTCTCTCTACCTATCAATAAATAATATTACGTATTTATACATAACATCATCAAATAATAGTTAGATCACCATATAAGCCTCCAAAAATATCGAAGCGAACGTCCGATCATTCCGTATAGACGCCGCTCCACTTTGATCATTGAACTAAACGCAGTGACGACAGAACGTCGCAACTATCAGACTCGCAGTATCGCGCTCGATTGAGGACCGTTACGTGAAAACGGCAAGAGCGCGGGGCGGGGCAAAGAGCCGATACAGCGAGTGAGCGACGGTGGCGCCCGAGCTCGGCCGATCGCCGAGTGCCGAGACGACGACGTACGAGCGGGGGCAGCGGGGGTGCGCCACTTATCGCAGCGAGCTGGCAACGCCGCGCGGGGTGGGAGCGCCCCGCGCCGCAACCTCTCACTCACCGTCGCCGGCTCGCTATCGCCATCATCCAGTCAGTGTTACCTTTGACGGTCGAACGTTGTGGTCGTTCGTCGTCCGTCAGTGACGTCGATGTCGACATTCGTATAACACGTCTATGATGTTTCGGTGATTTCAAAATCGGACTCGTGAGTGAACGATAAATTACTATCAAATACTGGAACACAGTGATACATATTCCACCCTGGATTTGGATGCTTATTGGTGAAAAGTGACATTTTGGATATTTGAAAAATTAATAGTGCAGTGAAAAACATTTAAAGGATTGCAACCAACAAAGTGATAAACATTGGATTTGAATGGATGATAATTGAAGTGAACTCAAAGCACATTAATCGTGAAGTGATAGTAAAAAGTAAATGGTGCATTTCCACATTTCTGTCGTTTGTTTGTTGTTATTGTTTTGAAAAGTTTAAAAATTATTTTTACATTTGATAAAAATTATACTATTAAAAATAAAAAAATAATTAACAATAAAATTGAAATATATGCTTATCAAAAATTTAACAACAAACCATGCCACCTGTCATAAAATATACACACTGAAATTGCCCCAGCTGATCGAGTGGCGGAATCTTCGAAACGTTCGTCGTGGAAGTGTAGAAACGGGGATATTTATGCAAAAAAAAAAAATTGCAAGTGCAAATCTTATCTAATAGTGAATTTGTGACAAATAAGACAATAGTGATAAAAAAATTATAAATACTAAAAAACTTCGATTTCAATGAGCGACCACGAAGCCAACTAAACATATATTTTTAATCCTTACACGATGAACGTTTTGAAGATTGTCTACTGCACATCAAGAAACTGCTGTTATGAAAACACCAGCACATTATAAAAGGACGCGACCTGATCAGAACCAGTAACATGGTTCAGCGAATTATTATTTTTCGTTGAAGAATTTTATAAATCGGCCAATGACCTGTGGAACGTTCCGACATTTCGAGCTACAACAAGATACGTCGTGTTTCAGGGGGTGACTTGAAGCGACAGGACGGCGAACTCTAGCAGCGCGACTGGATACGCAAACCCCGCCATCACCTACCCAGGAGCACCAGCTCCGGATACTGGCAAACACAACCCCCATCAAGGGACCATTGGCTACAGAGTTAACACCCCTAGGTGAGTGAAGATTCAATTCTATATTTTATTTATATACCATAAAAACTGCAATTTACAGTGATATGTCTAACGATGAAAATTTATATTAAAAAAATATAAGTTTTGGAATAAAATAAAAAAATATATTGCTTTATTATTATGTATTTAAAAAAATTGTTATTTATTGATAATTGGTAGGTAGTTCACATTTAAATATGTAAGTAAATATAAAAATATGCTAGATTATTAATATATTTTAGAAAAAAAATATAATGTTGTTCTAACATAATGTTTAATAATCTTTCAAGAAAAAATAATGTATAAATATAATTCTAGATAAAGTAATGTGTAACTGTACAAAAAGTTGAATGTACCTACAAAAAATTATAATTTTTTTCTGTACCTGTAACATTCACGTAAGTAGGCTCCTAATTAAGATAGTTACCAAAACGCAATACCTACTTACTCTGTACTTACCTATGTACTGTTTTATCTTATCCGGAACAAGTTTGTTTACATTTCTACAAAACGCTGAAACGTGACTCGACTTACCTGCGCCACCTTATCGTTGTTAACAAAGCAATAAAATCAAAAATATACCTACTTACTAAGTAAATACGTAAATTAAAATTATTGTTATTCAACACTTAATTAGGTTTGCTGTAACACATTTACTAAAGCTACAAAAATATCATCATACCTATACATATGACTTCAGTGCTCTGATATCATAAATGACAGATTAAAAGTACACAAGTAAGTGTGACATTGTCGTCCGCGCAGCGGTGCAATTATAAATGAAATGTGCTCTTCCATTCACACGCACAAACGCTTCAGGGCGCCCAGCACCCACACAGGCGCATTTCAACGCACTCACACTAGTTTACGTTACACACACATCGATAAAGCCGCACTTACACAGCTCCCAAAGGGAATGCATGCGGTGACTGCACTTAGCGCTTACGATAAATACAAATAAACAAAATATTAGACTAGCATCCAAATTTTACTTTATAATTTTCCAAGGCCGCGTTTATTTCTATTATATAAAAATAACTCAAAAATAATATATTATAAATTAAAACAACAACCGTTTCTGATAATTATTATGAACTGCAATAATATAAAACATTAAAAAAACTCGAAGCAGGTGCTAAGCCGACGCGCTCAACGGCTTTGTTTTGTAGTCACCTTTACAAACGACATATTGTTGACGGCTGCCTGCGTCTATACAAAACCAATAAGTAAATAATAATAAAACAGGGTCTCGTAACGAGATTGTGTGAACAGAGCACAGGAAGTCGACTTCAGTACAACAAGGGTAGCAGCAGGGAGATAGAAACAATGTTACCAAGCAGAAAAAAATACACTCTAAAAGTTAAAAACAATTGCCAAATAAACAAATTGTATGTCAAAACAATATTCTCATAAATCACTTAATGTGTAACAATAACGGATTTGTATGTGTAGTGAGTTATCGTGGGAAAAAACGTCAGTTTTGAACAGGCGAGGCTGGGGGCGGATGCGCACACACACAACAGTTGACGTTAAGTACACGTGCTCAACAGGGTTGAACGGATTCTTTATGATTTGATTATTGCTGAATTAGTTAAGTACGTGGTTAATTACTTTGGACTTCTGGTAGTGCAACATTTAAGTTTTATTTAAGTTTTTAGTTTTATGATGTTTGGAAATTGATTAATTGAAAAATTTGGAAATAAAATTATTTTAATATCATAATTATATAATATAACAATTTTTATAAAGCAATATTAAATATTGTACCTTCTATCTTGAAGATAATTATTGATAAACAAATATTAAAAAAAAATATTTTTGAATATGGCTTTCCCTAGAGACGACAGTATGGGGTTCTTCAAAAATTGTATTTTAAGGTTTCTTAAGGGTCATATGACACTCCTAGTATTGCAGGCGTCCATAGGCTCTAGTGACCGTTTACCATCAGAAAGACTGTATGCTTATTTGCCACCTGTAGTATTAAAAAAAAACATTTATATTTGTGTGTGATCTACAATAATTATCATAAAAATCACTTAGTCCATTTCTGTAAACCATATTAATGCGTGTAAAGCACATACCACCGTAAAAAAATTCTTAAATTAAATAATTATTTTAGGTAAATAATACTTAAAATGAGCTGGTTTCATTTAGTAGACAAATAAATTATTATCAGTGAGCGTCGTAATAAAGCCCCATATTGACGTGACCGGGCCCACTTACCCTAAGCCGGCGACTCGGGCGCGGCGACCCTTCCCCACTCATTGTGTCGTATTTACCCCGGAACGCTCGCCTCCATTTGTAACCCCCGGAATCCGCTCCTTGAAGCATGATTCATTCCCGACCCCGCCGTCAATTGACTAAAATAAGATAGAAATCGAAATATCTAATTTATTAATTATTATTAAGTCCATTTTCTTCACAACTTGTAAACCTAACGTATTTATTTAATATGTACTTAAATGCAAAATATAGACATACAACACATACAACACATTCAAAGGTCAAAATATCTTTAAACCCTATAAGTACAATTCTATAAATTTAAAGATTAATATGTATAGTAAGTATAGATTAATATGATATAGAGATATCATTATTAATATGTATAGTTGATATAATTGAAAAAAATACATAATAAAAGATAATAAAACACGCGTAATACCTCTGGTACTGCAGATGTTCATAGACTACGGTAACCACTTACCATCAGGTTGGCCGTATGCTTGTTTGCCACCTTAGTGGTATAAAAAAACACAGACAGAGCGTAGTAAATAACTACATATCACACGCGATAATCCGTCAATCATAAAGAATTTTTATTAATATTTACATAGTTAATTACAGTCAGAAACTAATAAACAATCCCACATCGATTCCAATAATATCCAAGCGTTAACGCTATTACATAGAGCAATGTGCGCACAAGCCACAATGTGAAGTGGCATTTAAATGGGGGTGACCAACTGTCGTCGAAACATTGGGGTGGAACACGCCATGGCTTCACGCTACCACGATAGTAATCTATACGAGGCTCACAATTAATGCCTTATTTAACACTCCGCTATTAATATCAAAATGTGTTAAACAAAACAAATTAATCGCACCATAACAAATATTCGTTTGTTAATACGTAAAACAAAATTCCAACTAAGTACGCGGAGTGTTTAATACATACTTTTTATTTACCTTTAATCGCGTCATAATTATTTCGAAAATAGCTCTTCCAATGAACAGTTGTGCCTACTTCTACATCTTGCTTCAAAATTTAGGAAATATATACTTAAATTTGTTGAATAATTTACTAAGGGGCCAATACAATTAATTTTGAATTGTAAAATAGAAGGAAGTGTAGTGAAATCGCATCATTCAAATACTTATTTGTTAACTGTTGATTCAATACGCTATGATCTCCACTGCCAATTAACCAAGAATCCAACACGTCTGCGCAGCAATCTAAAATTAACTGCAGCCTATGTATCAAAATACCAACGCGTTACTCGCACATCTCTCAATACTATGCCAAACACCTTCCAGCTTCTCGAAATAGCGACATACCTACTCATTCATATTGATTTATTTCTGCGAACCAAATATCGAAAAACAGACAACGACATTAGAATTTACAAATTAGTCTCGTCAATCTTTTTCATCATTTATTTGTTCTGTATGAAGTGATAAGCCTTAATATAATTGTATTAAAAGCGACTCCGAGTCTGCTCGTACACATTTTGCCAAAAGATAAAATACCATAAAGAGCAAGTTCTGAGAATGGTTCAAAGGAACGCAAGCGACGAGTGGTCGCATTCAAAATCCCAAATATTTTGAACAGGCAGTAAGTGATTATTCGGATGTGGTACCTACATTCACAAAAAGTGCACCAGGATACAGAACACACAGATTTTTTGTCGGCTACACATTTTGGTCGGCAAAAAGAAAAAAGGCCCAGACAAAACTATAAAAAGAAGTGTAGGTCGAGCCGAGTTTACCTAAGAAAGGACCCTTGTAAATCATCTGCAGTGTCGATGAATAGCGACGATGTCGAGTTAAGCGTTGTTGACTCATGTGTTTATTGATTGTCGATGCTACTAAATATCTGTTAAACTTTTGAGAATACTCGAAAACTAAAAAAATATCCCGTAAATAAGCATTCATTATTCTCTGATTATGTTGTTGACATTTTTATTCAACAGTTTACAAGTTAATACTAGCTAAATCAATCATTTAACTAGTATTAACTAATAAATTGTTTTAACAACATATCTAACGTCATTTTCTTTTTAAAACCACGAACAGTCGTCTACCCGTTTTTTAGTTTCGCATATTTATGTGTACAAGTTTATATGCATTAAAATAATTTTATACAGCTATACAATAGCCCAATATTGTTGCACTACTACAGAGAAGCAATGTAACAATGGGTAGCCCGTGCGAGTGTTTGTCGTGCATTTGTCGAATGGGAATTATTAGGAAGGGCACCGAGAAGGCTCGGGAATTCGCCCCAAAAGCAGTTCACATGAATCGGTCTCCCACTCCGACGTATACAAAAAAATCGAACACATCCCGAGAGAAACACAGGGGTAAACAGCGCGTCACTATACGTCCATATTGATTTTTGCTCTCATTGTTAGTAAAATAATAAAATCTGTGCACGTATTAAAAAAAGATCTTGCGTCGATAGAATTTGGGTTGAATATTGAGTCGTAGTTTATTAATAATCGAAGCGTTAACGTGTGGAATGTTCGGCTCTGCAAGGCCGCCTGCAATAGAAACTGCTCGTATCGTGAGTGAAATAAAATTAACTGGACCGATTTCACATTCAAAACCTACTTGCACTATAACTACCTCTAATGTAATTTATTGTTAAATTTCATACAGCTCCGATCTTAATGAACATCAAAGTTCCAAACAATTTCAAAAGAAACAATATATTTACATCGTTCTGATAATCAAAACGATGTAAGTAGATTGTTTCTTCTTTTGTGTCTAAAAGTTTCACTAATTTCGCTAATAGCATAGGTATGCGAGTAGATGGCAATATTACATCACGTTTATTTTAATAGTATTTTACTAAGTAATTATTTTGTAATAAATTATTATTTCATTATTATTAGTAAGCAGTTAAAGTATAATTAAATTAAATTAATTAAAATTATAATTCCGTTATCATTAGTTAAATTTAGCAGTCGCACGCTTACTAATGATAGCAGAATTAAACAAAATATTTCTAATCCAGTAACCAGTGAAATGGACTTCCGCAAAATAACATCTAATTCAATAAAATTTGTTGTCTTAAATCAATTTATACTCTTGTGGAAATAAATTAATTTTACTTATAATAATATCCAGTTATCTACTACAGTTTACAGCTAGTTCAAAAATGTTTATCAATAAATTTCATTATACGAAATACTCGTCAATATGCGATGTTTCTTTTTTTCTTTTTGTTAACATCACTGAACTGATAAAAGCCTTAATAAAATCATAAATCAAGAAGTTCTTCCTTTATCAAGTTTTAAATGCTTATAGTACTCATCTCCCTGATAATGTTAGATGAAGCGGTAATAACTCGTAAATAAGATAGCAATAGGCTACAGGGTCCCTATAGTAGTAGTAGTTATCTTAAATCAAAAATTCAACTAACTGTTATTGTTTCGCTATTTGTCTACAGCGGCTATGGGTGCGCCGGCGGTCCGGGCGCGATGAGCGGCGGGGGCGAAAACGCGCAGTTTGGCGCCACCGCCGCAATGGTCGCCGCCGCCACCACGGCTGCGATGCAGGACTCGCAGTCATTCTCACAGGTAAAGATTATAAATAAATGCATATAATAATGATTACACTACAACATATTGGAAAACGTTAAATGTAAATGATATGCACAAATCACAAATACATACATCTATGTATTTGTAATTTACCATTACCATTTTTTTAATTTATAAGTTCCATATCAATTCTCATTTGCTTATATTCAATTGTTTAATAACACTTATTTCAGATGCAAAACATGACGATGGGAAATCCCCAATATGGCGCGATGAATGGCTATGGCCAACAGCGCAGCCATAATCCAGCTATGACAGGCATGGGCATGGGAGGTAATGGCGGCATGAATGGTATGACCGGAATGGGACAAATGGGAAGTGCTGCCATGAACGGCATGAACCCCATGGCGCAGATGGCGAATATGGGTATGCATGGAAACATGATGCCCTCTCAGATGGGACCTGGACAAATGGGCGGATCAGCAAAAATGGGTCCAGGCTATCAAAGGCGACATACGCCTTATCCATCTGGTACTATGTTAATGGGACAAAGGAAAACGCAGTATATGGGTGGTCAGCCTAGTTTTGGACCGGGACAGTATCCTGCAGGCTATGGTGGAAGACCAGGATTTCAAGGTCAATACCCCCCTCAGCAACCGCTTGGGCCTACCGGGAACTTTGGAGCGGCAATGAGAGGAACTATGAGGCAGACAACGCCCCCATATTCCAATCAAGGACAGTATTTTAACGGCGGTGTGCCTAATCAATTCCCACAACACCAAAGCGGAAATGGACAGTATGGTGGAGGTCAATATAGTGGCCAGTTTGCACAAGAAGTTGTCATGCGAACAAATATGAGCTACCAACACAGTCCTGTGCCTGGAAACCCTACGCCACCTTTAACGCCAGCTAGCAGTATGCCTCCATATATAAGTCCAAACGCTGATGTCAAACCCCACTTTAATGAGCTCAAACCACCTATGGGGATGCAAAGTAAGTTTATAAAAGAGACTCAATAAGACTATTAGATTTTTTTATATGTATTATATTATGTAAAATTTAAGATGGCATGTATGTTTTTACAGATGATGAGCTCCGATTAACATTCCCTGTAAGAGACGGTATAATATTACCACCATTTAGATTAGAACATAATTTAGCAGTTAGCAATCACGTATTCCAATTAAAGCCCACGGTCCATTCAACATTAATATGGCGGTAAGTGTATAAAAATTATCTATATTCAATTATGTCAAAATTAGTTTTTTCTACTTCCAATGGGAATATGGTATTTTGACATTACATCATTATTACAGATCGGACCTGGAATTACAACTAAAATGCTTCCACCACGAAGACCGGCAAATGAATACGAACTGGCCGGCGAGTGTTCAGGTGTCAGTCAACGCGACGCCATTAGTCATAGATAGAGGCGAAAACAAAACATCTCATAAACCGTTGTACCTGAAAGAAGTGTGCCAACCAGGCAGAAATACTATACAGATCACAGTCTCCGCCTGCTGTTGTGTAAGTGTCTTTATTATTACTCATTATTGGTTAACAGTATGCATTTATCCGTATTGTACAAATAGTAAACATTCTATATTCACACTTGTTAATATATTACTTTGGTAATATAATAGGACTGAATAATATTATTGTTTTTTTTTTTCAGTCACATTTATTTGTATTACAATTAGTACACCGGCCGAGTGTCCGAAGTGTCCTCCAAGGATTATTAAGAAAGAGATTGTTAACAGCAGACCACTGCATAGCAAAAATTAAAATGAACTTTAATCAAGCACCGACGAATAACAATGGCTCAAACACCGCAAATGACAGGGACAGTGTCGAACAAACCGCATTGAAAGTATCGTTAAAATGTCCAATCACATTTAAAAAGATCACATTACCAGCACGTGGCCACGAGTGCAAACACATACAATGCTTTGACTTAGAATCCTATTTACAACTCAATTGCGAACGGGGTTCGTGGAGATGCCCTGTATGCAAGTAAGTAAACAACATTCGTTAAACGCGCACTGATAATATCTAATACATGATAAATATATTTTAATTATGTCAATCAATTACAGCAAACCAGCACAATTAGAAGGCCTAGAAGTCGATCAATACATGTGGGGTATTCTCAATACACTTAATAGTTCAGATGTCGATGAAGTTACAATTGACAGTGGAGCTAATTGGAAAGCTGCTAAGAATCCCACTAATTCCGGAATAAAGGTAACCAAACATTATTTCTTGTAATAATTTAAATTTAATAAAAATAAAAGAAATATAATAAGCAATCAGAATTTGTTTTATTTTTTAATTCTTTTATAGAAAATTAAAACCAAATTTTAAATTTGCAGCAGGAAGATGACAGCAACGACAACAGTGTAGGGAAACGAGGAAAAGCGGTATCACCAGGCTCTATGAACATGCCCACAATGAACAATTGGGAAATGAATCAAGCATTATCACCATATCTTCCCCCTGATATGAATACTATTGCTAGCGGGTCAATGATCTCATCATACAACCAAAGTGGGCAGAATAGAAACTCTGGCTCAAGTAACCAGAACTACGACTTTGGAATGAATAATGGACCTGGTAGCAATGAGTTTGCTGGCAATGGACCACTATCACATTTAAATGAAAGTGTCAATTCATTAGACCCACTAAATGCGATGGAGAAGAGCATTAATGAACAGGTAAGTTATATTATACATGTCTTTTTATTTTATTTTTCAAATACTTTATGATACAAAATGTCGATATCAAGGTTATAGAGAGTGGAAGTGACGAGTGTAAAATTAATGAAGCATGATCAATAATGTTGGTGCTAGTGAAAACATAAGTTATTGAGATGGATAATATTACAATGTGAACATCAAATTGATTTTTTTATGCAACTTATAATAGCATATAAGCTGACTGCCCTCCTTATAGAAAGTGGTAACCGTCGCCTATAGACATGAACAGTACCGTAAACAACAGAATATGTTGCTCCATGATACCCTTCATGCGTTGTTATTTCTGAGAACTAAGCTTTGTGCCTCTGTATACTGTAATTTCAATGTCATATACCATATTTGGATGCATAATACGAATTACACAAAGAAATTGTCTATTTTTATAATTCGACTCACTCGGTATTGACTACTTCGTAATAAAAACATTGTAAGCGTTTCTGATTATGATAACGAAATTGTCTTGATTATAATATCCTGTTGTTGTTTTGTCCTTTGGGAAATTTTAAAATGTTTATGTATTTCCCTTATAAAATGGCATCATTTCATAGAAATTTTATTTTAATTTTATTCGATTCTTTTACAATTTTTTATCGAATTTATTATTGTAACTTTACTCCAAAATTTTTACTTAGAATCTTTCCAGATTTCAAAAAGTAAAAGAAATATTCCTTAATAGTCCTTAAAATTCTATTTTCATTGTTGGTCGTTATAAATAACAGAATTTATATTTAAGGACGATATATATAGTTTAAATATGTATTAAATTTCCATCAGTTTTTTAATCGGAGACATAAGGAAAGTATAATAGTTATTTAATTACATTTAAACAACATTCCTAAATCCCGAATAAGAAAAGAAATGTGTGCTACTATGAATGAACGAGTCTTGTCCATTAGGTTCGCCTTATCGATCTGAATTGCTAGAATTATTTAATAAGAACCACTTCCAATAAATATTGTATAAAAGGTTTTTTCTATCATATACGAGTATAATAGTCCTTTCTGTTCGTCAACGTAGTACCCAACACTAATAGAAATTGTTATTTTTTAAAGCACAGCCCCACGAAATTAATACAAGGAAACTCCCCTTTTATTTTGTTAAAAATTTTAAATTTTAAAAATCATTTTCTAACTTTTTTAGACAACTGAAAGAAATAAAACAGTTGCAAGCACGGAATTAAATTCTATTGCACTGCTTATAAAGTCTAAGTGTTTAATCGGAAATTTCAGTGTCCCTTATTTTTTTAACCCAAACTCGACAAGGCACGCCTGTAACTTCACAACAAATTAAGGTAGTCTTTATATGACGACCAAATCCGATAGTAAACAATAAAAGGCTGAATTGAGAGCGATACGTCTAATATATAACGATAAAATAGGAAATATTAAACTCGCTACAAAAAAACTGTAATGTTAAATAAAGTAATATTAAAAGTTATAACAAATTTTGGCATACAACATGTAAGTAATACAATTTGTTGGACAGATGCCGCACACTCCGCATACGCCGCACACGCCCGGCTCTGCGCACACGCCGGGTGGCGGTGGCGCACACACACCTGGGTCGTCACATACGCCCGGCCCACCCTCAGTAGGTCACAGTCTTACTGACGTGGACATCCCGAGCGATCTCAACTTTGATCCCGCAGCCGTCATCGATGGAGAGGGCACCGATAATCTCAATGTAAGTACACTAGAAAATAAAAAAATAGAAGTTCTTAATTATATTTTTAAACTAAGAAACGTGACATGAAAGCAAAGCGATGCATTGTTTAATAAAGCAATTTTAGATTAGAAAGCAAATGGTGGATTTAAAAAAGTTAAGTATAATAATAATAGTACAGGTGTAACCATTATTAAGAGTCACTAGGTATAAGTCCTTAATTACTTACTTGACATATAACATTGATATTAGTTTGATGAAGTTTCAAAGAATAGCAAATTTTACTGAATGATTCTGATACTAACCTCGTACAATACTAATCCAGATAAAATTATTAAGTTACCTAAGATATTTTTGAGGTTCTCAAGGTTCTCATCTAATAAATGAACCATCAAATCCTTGGTATATTATCTTACGTGAATATAATTATATAAATTTGTTTTCTTTTTTACTTTTAGCTGTTGCCAGAAACGAGTGTGGACCCAATGGAGTTACTGTCATATCTAGACGCACCAGCGCTCGGAGAATTACTGGCGACGCCGCCATCATCGTCATCATCGGCTGGATCGCACCCACCTCGTGCTCCCTCTTCTGACGATCTCTTAGCGCTCTTCGAGTAAACATCCTCGCAATTCGTAGCTGATCGAACAGAATGCCTATGAGCAACACATATATGTAACCGCCACGAAGGGAGCCTTCCCCACCGTGATATAATTTAAAGTTTTGTTATCATTACATTTATCATAATTATATTTAAGCTGAATTAAACTTGTTAATAATAAATCAACCTTCTTTCGTGGTCCGTAGTATTAAAAAAATAATTTGAAATAAATGCAAATGAGAATATCTGTGTGTTCTTGCGACAAGGTTAATTGATACTCGATCAGCTTAGGTCTAGTGAGGCATTGGCTCAACTCGCTTTTAGGCCAGCGAAGCCCGAAATTGTGATACTAGATTTTAGTTCCTTCTCCAATTGTGACAATGTTAAACATAGCATGTTGAAGTCTAACTAAATGAATCTCTGCCGCCTTATAAGGTCAATGTGTCTTCAAATTAAGTTTGCAATATTTAATATTGTCGCACGAAACACCAGTTGTTGAAACAATGGTGTTGGAGAACATTTATTAGCGTATAGGTAAAGTATTGAGGCGAGGCGTTCGCCGCACCAGCCATAGACACTGCGGTTTTGTGCATGTATAGTTCCTCGCACCGCCGCATACGGTGGCGCTACTGGGCTCCTTATATTCTAAACTCTAGCATAAACTGTTACACAAATTTTCATTATATGTATAATTCAATTTCATATTTGACATGATGTAATCAATTAGATTTTTATTTGTGACCATAATTTGTGAATAGTTCGCCGATGTACATAAAGAGGAGTTATTTAATTTGTGCTAGTTGTTTGGTACTGTGGGCAGAGTCGTCGCAATTTGTACATATAATGCGTTAATGCCGCGCGCGACCGCACGGAGGCATTATGAATCTTATAGTTCCTATTCGATGCGAGCGAACTATAATGTTCAATTGCCATTACTGTAAAATTCCTTGACGTTTTCGCATATACTGCATTTTTAAAAAGTAAGTAACGATAGGATTAGTGAGTATAGCACTACTCGCATAATGGGTGATATAATTAATCTAAATGAATTGTTTGAAATCAAGAAATAAATTGTAACAAATACGTTACAAAACTATATTGTAAATGTGAGTGCAAAAATGAACTCTATTAAATTATTTTGCGTTATGTGAAGCGAAGAATGATAGAAATATATTTTAATTTCTATATAAAATGTAATGAACTGTATTATTTGTACATATAAATTTAGCTAAGAATATTATATTACCTAGTTATATTTTAGGAGAACATGGCAGATACTTATATTGACGGCCAGTTTAGTATAGTATTACTAAAATTAATAAAAATCTACACATGGTTTTACATGTACATAATTCAAAATACCACGTTAGACAAGATTACATGCGGTCAGAGTACACAAGAATGATATCAAGTTGTTTAATTCATTTCTTATTTTCGTACGAATATTTCTTACTATAATTTTAATTTTAAAGTAAAAACAAATAAATAAATCTTTAATTTTTAGAGGAAACAATAAAGAGTATCTGTCTATAAATATGCAAATAACTACAATTAGTAGTTAATTTAATCTCATATCTTATATCCCCGTTAGTTGTAAATCGATTTAGAAAATTATTTTTTATCTGAAAAGATTGGTCTCATAGAAATTCTATCAAAATTGGTTCAGTGGTTTAGTTTTTATTTTGTGGAACGCAATCTTAATTATTTTAATCAACTATATTTAAAAAAACAAAACACTAGTTTCATTTACATCACATTTTAATAAATAAAATTTATTATTTTCAAACAAATAGTAATTGAAATTTTCAATGCTATTACAAATTGAAAGAACAGGTATCACAATTTAATACCTTGCTCGTTCTGTACTCTGATACGCTTCGATTTCACAAGTGCAAATATACATTAGTAAAATGTCATTAGTCTTTGCTCATCGTAACTTTGTTTCGATATAATAGATTATTATTTATATTTAAAACAAATAAACTATTACAATTTAATTCAATCAATAATGGAATCATAATTTTTTATTGCGTATTCATTATTTTATTGGATTAATTTTATATTTATTACTTTGTCACTTAAGTTTTCATATATTCACAGAGGCGGAATGACAATGGTGATGAGCACTGAATTGGCAAAAATCTTGTTTCACATATTTTCAAATGTTTTATTTTTATTTCTTTTCTTTCTTGACATCGAAGCGCTATATATTGACGAACGTATGGGAATATAAATACATTTATTTATTTACACAAATTATAAAGCGCAAGGTTGTCAAAAGTGGAAATTTCTAAATGGAATTAAGTTCCCATTAAAAATCAAATCATTATTACTCCATAATTCATTTAGATGTTGTAAATTTTTCTTACATACTTATACTGTTAATAAAATATAAAAATAACAGTTTATAAAATATCTCTAACTTAGAGTTGTATGTAAAACTGTCGATCCTTTCACTAACTTATGTAAAAATTGGTGATTTGCGCATCTTTACTTCATGCTATGAATATGGACGCCTCTTTAGAGTTAGTCAAACTATTACGAAAACAATAAAATTAGTATTATACAAAGCAGTGGTCAATTACTCAAACAAATTGATTGACGTGCGTGTATTATTTTATCATTTTTCTTTTTTTTTAATGACATATGGCTGAATAGACAAACGTATGGAGATTTTGTCTGTATAGTTGATCACAGCTTTCACATAATATACATACTTTTAAGGGACCTTCAATTCCAGTTAGCTAGTTCTATTTATTGTAGTGAATATTGCTGTTGGATGAATCATCGGAATGATTTTTGTGAGACCAAATAGTAATTTTTTACATATTTACCTGTTTTAGGTAATTTAAATAACGAATTTGTTTATATAAAATCGAAAATATCACAAAAAATGTATAGCATATCACATTTAAAATACACAAAAATCTAATGTATGATTCGTCCACACAATTAAATGATTACAATATATTTTGTTGATTATTATAATGAACTGCTGTGGAGTAGTAGATTTTGTGCTCGTACAAATATAAGATTCAGCATTTGGAAATAAGTGAAAGAAGAATTCTAAATAAGGTAATCTGCAAACCATGACTCCGAGTTCATGCGACGCCAAACTGAACTGTAGTATAATACATTTTCAATTTATTGTAAACATTTTAGTAACCCGGTTGGTATCCAATACAATTCATTTCGAAATGTGTAAAATGAAAAATAAAACATAACATTTTTATGTTATTGAAAATAAAATGACTTCAAAAATTATGTTCGAATTTTATTTCTCTACCAAACTTTCAAATATATCACTAGCTGTGTTAGCAAATTCGATTTATTCCTTAAGCATTATTGAGTAAAAAACATTCAAATATTTTTATGCAAATATACCTGTTTGTACTTAGTTTCAGTATTAGTATGTACTATTATTTTTAATAAATTAATAGAATAAAAATAAAAAACAGCTATCAGTGGCAACCAAAGTTCGAATCATCTAAAAGTGAAAGATCACACCATTTCATACATTTCAACAATATCCATGATGTCTTCGGATTAAAGGCGACCATATAATAAAGGAAAATGTTTTTCACATTTATAATTTACTCGAAAATATAAATATATTAAAATAAGTAAATATAAACATAAATGCCGCTGAAGTCAAATTTGATATAAAAATAGGTAGTATGACAGTGAAATTACAGGGCATGGTGCCGTAAAACAGAGTTCTCAGAAATAATAGCTGATATCCCTGACGCTCTTCATATCTATAAGCAAAGATCGAAGCTGAAATCCAGGTGTTCCAGATCATCGAAACGAGCTATACTCTATATAGCCAGACTTTCTACTTACATATCTGGGAAGAGTCTTTGTACCGGGGTTATTTCTTGACTATGTATGAACTCCAGCTTGACTTTGTTTTCAAAGTCAACAGATATCAACACTAAATTGAAATGTACTTACAAATAGTAATGTATTCTAGAATTGTAAGGTATTATATATATTATACTAGATGGAGTGATGACCTGAAATGCATTGCAGAGAGTCAGTAGATGCAGTTGGCTCAAGGTAAAAGAAGTAGGGTGCGTTGTTGAACAGTGAACCAACCTTTTTTCTAAGTCATATAACTTGTTAGAAATTAAAGTTAAGAATTTCGTTTTGGTGTCATGATTTAGGCAATTTTATACAGTTTCTCATATTCAAGTTACAGAAAGCCAGAGAAACGAATAAAGACCGTAAATGAAGTTTAAAAAAAAATAAAGAATTGGCTCACTGTGTACTATAGGTAGTATACACTGAACCACCTGTATTTCAACAGTGAACCACAATTTCGTTACCAGTAAAAATCCTTAAAATTTTTGATTTTGTCTTTTATTTTTGTTGTACAAAATACAATAAAAAAATATTACTTCTAATAACAAAAAAATTTTGGTTTTCAGTGCTTTCTCTATGGTAATAATAATAATAATAAAATCAGTCTTCATTTAATTACCTACCAGTTGAAGCAAGAACTGGGTAAACAAAAAATAAACATAACATATCAATTATAATGGTTTCGTATAGTTTTCTTTACAGCAGTTAACTTCTTAATAATGCTAAGTTATCATATAAACCTCTGGATAAAATTAACAATCAGCCTTCTTCAAATAGTATAATTAACAGTCTTCATTAATTTACTGACTAAATAAAGAATCACGAAAAAAATACATCAAAATGCGTCAAAATAAATATTTACGCCATATTTAGTAAAGATAAGTTTATATTGAAGGAATATTTAATTAGACGTTTTGTACCGGACACACAAGGAGGAGGGAGAATCATTTTGAATGTCACTGAGTTTCATATTAGCCATATCGGGTTCTAGAGGAAACATAAAGGTTTTATTCAGACGATCTTTTAATTTTAGGTACGAAACGCAATATTTATCGTCAGTTTCTATTTCCAGAATCTTTGCAACGTAATAAACAGTCCGTTTTTTAGATTGCAGCAAGACTAGGACGTATTCGTTAATAATTGGTTTACGCTGTAAATAAGGAAAATTTTCATCAATAATTTCATATTCTTGGTCACTTCCTCATTCGATTCTAGGTCCGTTTCACTTTCAAGAATTATATCTTCACCTTCACTGGTTTCACTGTCTTCATCTGGTATAACTATTTACTGGTTTTTGCCGCCGTCCTAATGGAGCTACCATTTTCTACCATTAGTAATGCTGACATCATATCGTCTTTTTTGTGTTTTCCAATTTTCCTTTCCTTATTTCTTGGCCTTGGGATCCTAAAATAATCAAAAATATTATTGATTTTCAGCATAACACTATCATTGAACAGTGAACCAGGATCGTAAGGTACACAGTGAACCGGTTCACTGTGTACTATGCGAACCTGGTTCACTGTTCAATACACACACTATTTAACTTATAATATTTAAAAAAAATAAGTTGTAGGCTAAATTGTTACAAAGCAATATGCTTATAAAACGTCTAAAACTACAACAATATCGACACCATAAAGCTTTTGGTGCTAGAATTAATAACAAAATATATAAAAATAGAGACACTTACGTGAGAATTCTATGTTTTTTTGGTGAGAAACAAATAAACCACTGTTACACTTCACGCTCAAGTCGTGGCCACCCGTTAACTACGGGAGAGGGGAAGGGTGCCCACGAGAAAAGTTTTAACATGATCGGTCGAATTGGCAACCTCGCAGTTTTTTCAACATCGTGGTGGTTCAATGTTCCTGGTTGGTTCACTGTTCAACAACCGACCCTACTTAAAAGCAAAATAACAAACACAGCCTTAAAAGGTAACTAAACTATATGATACCTATATTTTACCAGTTGTTATATATGGTTGCCAAATCTGAGCCCTAACCAAATCCCACTTAAAAAAACTAAAAAATTGCTAGAATATCATGGAAAGAAGTATGATGGGGATAAGATTATCAGATAGAATTCAAACTAAAGCAATTAAAAATCTTTAGTTTTTGTAACTAAGGATGTTACAGTCACAATTAAAAAACTCAAATGAAAATTAGCTCAGCAAACAATTAGAGGGAAAGATAAATTGAGTAAAATAATAATATTTAGGCACACAAAAGACAAGGAAACATAGAAGATGGGTAGATGACATTAGGGCTGAAGCAGGTGGAATTTGGACAAGAATCACTAGTAATAGAGATCATTGGAGACCTTTGTAATAAGCAAACAGTCAATAGCAATTAAATAAATAATAAATTGTTAAAAATAATTTATGTCTGAATAAAAGTTTACATTATATTATTACTTATGCAAATGTAAAATAATCTTGTACATAATAAATTGAAAAGAGTAACTGTTGAGTTTCTTAGCGGGTTCTTCTTAGTAAATAATAAAATCGCAAACCCAGCAGTGCATACATAAAAAAATATGATTTATAAGAGCTCTTAAAATATAAAGTTTTTTTTTCAACACAGGGAGCAAACGAGCATGCGGCTCACCTGATGGTGACTACCGCCGCCCATGGTCACCCACAACACCTACGGCATTGCAGGTGTGCTGCCGGTCTTTTAAAAAGGAATATACTCTTTTCTTGAAGGTTATGTTGTCGTATCGGTTCGGAAATACTGCTGCTGGAAATTAATTCTAAAGAGTGGTTGTACGTGGGAGAAAGTGCACTAGTGAAAGGTGATAGATGAGAATGAAAACAGGCCAGTTAGCCCATCATAATGAATTCATCAGGAATTAACCATGATAGTTTCCAGGGAGAACCGCGAGGAGGTCGGCCTGGTTGGGTATATATATTGCTAGCAATAGGATTCTCAGTCTCCATTACTAACAATTCCTTTCCCCCCAGTTTATGGCGGGTTGTACGATGGTGAAAATCAGCAGCAGGTATCAATCCGAACAATTCTTCAGAGCACTCCCCATGATAAATTCGGTAGATGATGCACAGAGATGCAACATCTCTACGCAGTCTCAGTGGGTCGAGCCGGACAGTAAGACGCCGATCGTCAACAATTCGAGCTGCCCGACTTTGAATGCGGTGTAACGGAAGGAGTTGGTACTGTGGCGCTCCTGCCCACCTGTATTCCATGTGTGGCCTCACTTGAACTTTATACAGTTTTAGGCGGTGTTTCGGCGTGAAATACCGTCTCACCCTATTGAGCACCCCCAACTTTTTGAAAGCTATCTTAGCTTTTTCTTCCAAATGACCGCAAAACTGGACATCACTAGATATATCGACGCCAAGAATCCCCAGATTCGACTTATTATCGAGGGAAGTGCCCTGAAAGTGAGGAGATACGACAAACGGTGTCTTTTTTGCGGTGAACGCGCAGACTTGTGTCTTCTTAGGGTTGAAGTGTACTAGATTGCGTTCGCCCCATATCGAAACTTGGTCGAGTGAAGTTTCGGTTTCAGACACAAGTCTGTTCCGGAGTTACACAACCTTGCGGGACACCAGCATTCACAGGTTTTAAGTCAGAGCATGCTCCGTCGACTACGACCTGTACCTGTACCTGACGAAGTACATTTGAATAAAGATTATTTTATTCTATTTTCATCCCATTAAAAAAATCAATAACAATAATAAAATATATAATCCATAACAATGTGGAATGACCTTTCCCAAGACATACTTTCTTCACCCTATAACCTTGGATACTTTAAATGTAGAATGAAAAAGCACCAGTGAACCAGTATATTGGAATCAATGATTGAGAACTACTATAAACTGAAAAGAGACTAATGTTATTCTTTTTTCTTTTTGATAGTATTCATGGACCATATTCTCTGTGTTTTCTCAAGATGATATAGTCACATGTTATGCTATAATAAAAATAATTCTTCTCACCCAACTGGGCTCACCCCTATTAAAGGGTTAACAGATCAATCCATTGTCGTAAAATTTAGCATAAACATATTTATATATGATGTATAGAAGAATGGAATAGAATAATATGTATAAAATATCTATAAGCTACTTTTTATCACATCAACTACTGACATATAGACAAAGTCACAGAAATAACTAGTTTTTAAAAATCCATCTGGCCAAACCAGACCAGACCAATTATCAATTTATAAGTAACTTTTGGAAATAATTATCTAGATTAATGAACACATTTCCAAAAATTTTAAATATTGTTTCTACAATATTAACTACAGTACAGAAAGAAATCTATTTGTAAAATATATATTTTTTATTTATTTAACACTTTATTGCACCAACATAACATGATTTGTTAAACAATATTCAATATGTATAGTGTAGTACAAAAGGCGGTCTTATT